GATGAAGTGTGATCGTCCCGGATATCATCCTGGACAATCTCTTGGTTTTTATCTCATCGTACTGTACGATAGTAATCATACCATACGATGAACAGAGACGACATCTGATCGTCTAGACCATCATCCTGTACAAATATTATTTTGTTGATCGTACCGTATTATATTATATCGCACAGTACGAATCATTTTTTAATTGTTCGTACATCTTCGTACCAGGACGAAGTCTGTTTATGAATATCGTACTGTACGAATAGTAACGGCTACTTTTGAAATCAGATGGATTTTGGAGCCTACTTTTAGGTCAGTAAGAATTACAGAGAGGGAGAATGGGGTGAGAGAGGGATTCCAAGGGGAGAGAGCTCTTGAGAAGTTCTTTAGGGTTTTGAGAGAGGAAGGTGAAGGTGAGCATTATGAGGGAGAAGAGGTGTGAGGGAGATCACACGGTTGCTCCAAACTTGTTGCATCTTGTTCCTCCTGTGGCCCTAGAAGAATTTGTGGGAGGATCTCCAAAGGAAATGCTCTTCTCCGCCTCGAGGTACTCTGCCTTCTCCAGGAGGGAGAAAAAGGAGAAGGTTCTCTACCGTCGCCAGGAGGGTGAAAACAGAGTTTGGCACTCCGCCATGCCGGGTTGGTGAAATGGAGGTTTGTAAAGGCTTCTCCGCCTTACGGAGGGGAGAAAAAGGAGAACTATGGTTGGTAGTGAAAATCCCGGAGCGGAGGACTCCGAGGAGTGGACGTAGGTCATTGTTTGACCGAACCACTATAAAAATCTTGGTGAATTTTTTCCTTATCTTCATTTACTTTTACTTGCACTTAATTTTTCATAATTATTGCGTGGTGAAATTTGTGAAAGAAAATCTGTTTAAGTTTTTGTTGTCAAATTTCAAAAATAACAAAAAGATTAGAACTCCTGTTTATGGTTACTTTTTATTGAGAAAAAATTTTTCACAATTCACCCCCCTCTTGTCATTTAGTGATTTCAGATGATATTTATATCGTCTTGACAATTAGTTCAAATCATTGAGCATCATCCAGAATATCGCCTTGATTATATGTCTAGATGATGGAAAAGTAAATTGATCGTTTGGGATGATCTTACGATCATCCAGAATGATTAGTACAAAAAAGTACATATCGTTCAGAGCATCGTCTTGAATGAAGCTAGGCCAATTATTAATCGTCCAAAAAGAACTAAGATTTGTGAACTGATCGTCCCGCACGATCCTGCGATCGTCTAGGCTGATATGCTCGAACAATCAAACCTTAATTAATTTCCTTAATAAGAAGATTAAGTTAGGAATAATTATAATGTATCATCTAAGATGATGTCATGGACGATGTCCAAAAATAAAATATACCTAAATAGATATGCCGGCTGATTCTTTCTGATTTGAGCCTATCATCCAGTATGATGAAATTATCGTCTAGGACGATTCGCTTAATACGACTTCCTTAACCAGGATGCCCTAAATAGGGCTTTTGTTTTTAACTAATCATCCAAGATGATTTTTGGATTGTCCCGGCTGATGTGATAAAAAACAAAAGACTCTAAAACACAGACAGAATTTTTCCCAAGTGTGTGTGTAAGGTTACAAGCAAGCATACACCCTTACAGAACATGACTAAAAAATGCATCATTGAATATTACAAATAAAACTTATTCTACCAAATCTAGTGCCTATAATGGTGCACCATAATCCTAAAATATTAGTATACACACAAATAAAAATATATTACAAATACAAATAGATAACAGAAAGTGAGACAATATATTTGTTATCATTAAGAACATAAACTCATAAGCTCGAGTTGCAATACAGACAACTAAGACGCATGAGTTTCATGCTTCAGAAAAAGAATACACTTTATTTCTTTATACATAAGAGTCATAAGAAAAGATTATCAAAGATGATAAGCAAATAATGGTAATTTCTTATATAAATAAATATATATATATATATATATCAATTAATTCTATCTACAGGCATCTATAAAGATTTTTAGGTCTCCATAAAAGGGTAACAAGTTGTCATAAACCCCTACGTGCACTCCAATATGATTAAAATCTTTGGATGAAAAAATTAAGCCTTGACGAACCTCTATGAATACTAATTGGTCTTCACAAACAACTTTATAGGCCTCAATTAACTTGTTAGTGGAGAGATAATTGAGTAGAGAAGTGCCTTTTTTAGATAAGAGATCGTGATAAAATATATGGTCATATTTTTATGATTATGTTGAAGGACATTGTAAATGGATGCACCATTTGGTTGGTTCCCATAATGGCCATAGGTGTCGTGATTAGCACTTATTCATAAACAACATGTTTAATAATTTAACAAGCATGGACAAACTTTTAGATGTTCAATATATAAGTGAACAAGCTCAAACTGTAATTTTTTTGTTCATTTCTGCTTATGACCCCATTGTTTGATATTTAATGATTCCTTTTTATTGATGAGTTATTCATGTTCTTTCTTGTACAAGTTTCAAGGCAACCTTTCTTCCTCCGCTAGGGCTTTCTTCTGGAGCGTTGTTGGGGTTTCCCCCGCCTTGCTAAGGCCTCCCCCTTGCTGGCGCCGGCGATCTCGGTGATTTTCAGGGAATTGCTCTCTACTTTTTCTAGTGGGTTTGGTTTTTATGTTTTTGGCTTTGTGTTTGGTCTCTTTCTCCGACATGTGCAGGGATGCCGCTGAATCGGTTGTGCAATCCCAATTTTTTAAGAGTTTTGACTCATTCACACTCATTTGTGGAAGGGCTTACTGGTTATTCCTCGGTTGCTTCATTTTCGGAGCTGTGGACCTCGACTTTTTGGGGCTTACCTTCACTTTGGATTTTCGAGCAGGAAATCAATGCTTTGGCTATTCCTTTTCAATTTTCTTTAGTTAGATTTTTTTCGTCCAAATGACCTTCTGTTAATTACATTCGCAAAATTATTTTAACCTAAAGTAGAATGGTGAAGTTTCGGTCACCCTGCCTGACCCATCGCATATTCTAATCAAACCAGCTAATGATCTTGATTACTATAGGGTATTTTTTCTTAGATCTTATCTTGTTTACAATTGTTACATGAAACTCACAAAGTGGTCTTCCAGTTTGGATGTTGGTGTTGAGTTGCCGATCATTATGATTTGGGTCTTCTTTCCGTAATTGTGTCCTGATCTATATACCCCTCATATTCTTCATGGTTTGGGAGCTATTTGTGGTAAACCTTTGAAAATTGATGCGGCTACTTCTTCTAGTTCTCGACCTTCCTTGGCTCGTGTGCTGGGGGAGCTAGATATCACTAAATCCTATCCAAACCAGGTTTGTTTAGGTTCTGAAAATTTAGGATTTGAGTATAATATTGTTTTAGATGAATTCCCTCCCTTTTGTGCTTCTTGTAAATGTATTGGTCATGTGGATCAGAATTATCGTCCACTCCATTCGACTAATCCACCTAATACTGTTGATAAACATGTTTTGAATTTATCTTCCCCTTCTTCTTTTCTTCCTGTTGTGCCTAGCCTTTCTACGGATGAGGATGTTGCTGTCCTTATTGAGTTGGAGACTACTGGGTATGTCCCAGGGAATGATGTTGGTTTAGAGGGGGACCTTCCTAGTTCTAATGTATTGGTTGGGTTGGAACCTAGTTCCTCTGCTCCTCTGTTGATTGATGGTGAGATGGGAGATTTAAATTGTGGTACTAATCTTATAGCTAGTGTTTCTAGTGCGGAGGTTGTAGCTTAGCCGAGAGAAAGGTTCTTGGAGGTTATCTCTGGGGAGGTGATTCCTTCTTGCCCTATTTCTCCTTGCATGGAGTTGGCGAGTTGTGGTGTTTCTTATCCCTTTATTTCTATTGATCAGGATTTTATGTCTTCCCTTGTTAATTTAGAATCCCCAGCAACACTACTGAATGATTTGGTTAATGTCCTATCTCATGCTTGCCCTACTACTGAGTCGGAGGGTGTTTCTACTTTTACTGATGTTCATATCTCAGTTATGTCTAATAATGAATTAAAGACTCATGTGGCTAAGCTTGGGAATAACTCTATTCGGCTTCAAATGGATTGGTTGGTTTTGGATGATTTTTTTTCTTCTCACTCTGGGGGAGGATGTGGAATTTGATGAAGAGAATTTGACATTTTGTATTGCTGATCGAGTTCGTCTCAATGTTGGTGGTAAAAAGTGTAAAAGTAAAGGCAAAAAGAAATAAGCTTTCACATCTCCTTTTACTGTTACGACTGTGATTTTTTGCGGGCTTTCTGGACGATGATGATGAAGCCCCTGCTTCCCTCTTGTTGGCTCGCCTGGCTGGCAACTTGGGTACTTTGGCTGTTTGGTTGGAATTTATGATTGTATTGGTGTTTAGTAGCTGTTTCCATGGATGGTCTCCTGAGTATATTTTAGTCTTTCTTAGCTCTGCTTGCTTTTGTATCGTTTTGGCTATCTTTTAGTGGTTTTACTGTTAGTCGTGTTAGCTGTTGGCCGCCTTATGTTATAATCCCTTTCTCTTATGAATAAAAATGTATTATTTGTTTTAAAAAAAATTCTTTCATTATCTTGCTTATATTGTAGTATTTAAATATGAGCATTTTCAATCAAATCATTACAAATATTGATTAAATTTATTTTTTATAAATATTTGACGTTCACAAAATTGTCTCAAGTTTAAATTAAACTAACAAATTTATTATTATCTTAGAATAACTTATATATTTAGACTATTACTGTCAAATATACAATTAATTAGATTATTTAAAGGTAATTATAGCTTAAATTCAATTAAAACTATTAAAAAAATAATAATAAATAAAAAAACTTAAGATCATGTCTAATGTTAGATTTGATAAGAGCGAAAAAAGTGGTGGTGGGGGGGGGGGGGGGGGCGGTGTTTGATTCGATTCCATTGATTTAGAAACAATCCTATCGAACCAGCATCTGATCGGATTCGATTAGGCGAAGCGCGGGAAAGAAAAAGGAATAATTCTTTTTTTTTTTTTGTTGGGAAAAAGGAATAATTCTCTATACCCCACGCCACGAAAAGTAACCAGCAGCAGGAAGAACGATTGGGCGGAGGGGGTGGTGGGGGCAGAGAGAGCTTCAAAATCAAGCAAGCTTTCGAATCCCACAAAAGCAAGCACCTCCACCATTATATAAAAGTAAAAGCAAAATCCCGGCATCCATCGCCACCTCAAAAGGAAAGGCACCAATTTATCCACCCTCTCCCTCCTCTCCTTCCCCTAAAGCAAAAGAAAACCAAAGAATTGATCGACATCGACAAACGCATAACATGAGATCATGACGTCGTCGCCGACGGTTCGTAAGCTGGTCGTTGAGGTAGTGGACGCCCGCGATCTCGTTCCCAAAGACGGTCAGGGCACCTCCAGCCCCTATGTGGTGATCGACTTTGCCGGCCAGCGCAAGCGCACCCACACCCGTGCCCGTGATCTCAATCCCCAGTGGCACGAGCGTCTCGAGTTCATCGTTTCCGATCCCTCTTCCATGGAGCTCGAAGAGCTTAACATCGAGATCTACAACGACAAGCGCTTTGGACCCGTAGCCTCAACCACTCGAAAGAACAATTTTCTCGGCCGCGTCCGCATCTACGGTTCCCAGTTTGCTCGTCGTGGCGAGGAGGGCCTTATCTATTTCCCTCTCGAGAAACGCAGTCTTCTTAGCTGGATTCGCGGCGAGATAGGCCTAAAAATTTACTACTTTGATGACGACAAGATTCCTGGCGAGGCCAAGAAGCCAGAATCAGTTTCCCCTCCACCAGTTTCCGCTGCTCCGGAGCCAACAGAGATACCCGCTCCTACCGAGGCCGCCATCGAGTCGCAAGCGCCGCTGCCCATCCCGGTCATAAACGTCGAGGAAATACCACCTCCGGCCGAGCAACGGCTGTCTTCGGCGCCAGACGATACTCAGCCACCGTCGGAGGTCAAGAAGGCGCAGAATTCTGCGAGCTCGGACCGTGTACGCGTTACCCGCCGGCCAAACGGCGGAGCAGATTACACCCATTTCACGCGGGTCTTATCCGGTCGGTTCATATCCTCAAGTGACTCGCTGGTTCCATCTGCCTACGATCTGGTCGAGCCTATGCAGTACCTTTTCGTTAGACTTGTCCGCGCTCGTGGCCTCCGCCAATGCGAGAGCCCCTACGTCAAAATCCGGTCCGGTTCACACTCTATGAGGTCGAAAGCGGCACGTGAAACCTCTGGCAACCCGGAATGGAACCAAGTGTTCGCCTTAAGCCAGTCCAAGCCGGACCCCACTCTGGAGATCTCAGTTTGGGACAGCGGTCCCGGCGAAGGTTTCCTCGGCGGCGTCTGTTTCGACCTCTCTGACGTTCCCATACGAGAGCAGCCTGATGGTCCGCTAGCCCCGCAATGGTACCACCTCGAGGGCGGCGAAGACCCCCACATCACCGGTGATATAATGGTTTCCGTCTGGCTTGGTACCCAAGCCGACGACGCTTTTCCTGAGTCCTGCAACTCCGACGCACCATACATTACCTATACTCGCTCAAAAGTCTACCAATCGCCAAAGCTATGGTACCTCCGTGCCTCGGTAATTGAAGCGCAGGACCTCCGTGTTCCTCAGACGCCCCTCGGCTCACTTGTAGATCTCCGCGTAAAGATCCAGCTCGGCTTCCAGTCCGCGCGCACCAGACGCTCCATCTCAAACTGCAATACCTCCACCTTCTCCTGGCTAGAAGACTTGATGTTCGTGGTCTCGGAGCCTCTCGATGACCAATTGATTGTTCTCGTGGAGGACCGCTCCGCTAAGGATCCCGTTCTGCTTGGTCACGCCGTCATCCCAGTGGCCACCATCGATCAGCGCCTTGACGAACGACATCTTGTGCCTTTCAGGTGGTTCAACCTTGATGGCAGCGGAAGTAATGGGCATGGACAGGGTGGAGTAGCTTACGGCGGGAGGATACAATTACGCCTCTTCTTGGAGGGCGGCTATCACGTACTAGACGAGGCTGCTCACGTGTGCAGCGACTTCCGTCCTACAGCGAAGCAGCTTTGGAGGCCGGCGGTTGGGGCGCTGGAGCTTGGGATTCTTTCCGCTCGCGGGCTTCAACCAATGAAGACTAAAAGCGGGGGAAAAGGTTCAACGGATGCCTATTGTGTTGCCAAATACGGGAAAAAGTGGACGCGAACGCGGACAATCACTGACAGCTTCGACCCACGGTGGAATGAACAATATACATGGAAGGTTTACGACCCCTGCACAGTGCTCACCATCGGCGTCTTTGACAACTGGCGTATGTTCGCTGAAGGAGGAGAAGACCGCCCGGACTACCGCATCGGCAAAATCCGCATCCGCGTCTCCACATTAGAAAGCAACCGCGTTTACACCCAATCATATCCTCTTATGGTGCTGCTTCGTTCGGGGTTAAAGAAAATGGGAGAAATTAAAATAGCCGTGCGCTTCGCCAGCTCCGCTCTACTACCTGACACCTGCGCCCTCTACGCCACTCCCATGTTGCCGCGAATGCACTACCTAAGGCCAATAGGCGTGGCACAACAGGAAGCGCTCCGTGGGGCGGCCATTAGAATAGTTGCCGCGTGGCTGGCAAGAGCGGAACCGCCGCTTGGTCCGGAGGTCGTGTGCTACATGCTTGACGCTGACTCCCACTCTTGGAGCCTACGACGGAGCAAGGCTAACTGGTATCGTATCTTGGGGATCATAGCGTGGGCGGTTGGGCTGGCTCGATGGCTCGACGACGTGCGCCGGTGGCGAAATCCGGTTACAACTGTCTTAGTTCATCTCCTATACTTAGTACTAGTGTGGTATCCGGAGCTGGTTGCCCCAACAGCGAGTTTATATTTGTTTTTAATCGGGGCATGGTATTATCGATTTCGACCTAGGGGGCCGGCGGGAATGGACGCGCATCTGTCGCAGGCAGAAGGCGCGGAAGGGGATGAGCTGGACGAAGAGTTTGATGGCATGCCAAGTGGGAAGACAACGGAGGTTGTGAGGGCGAGGTATGATAGGTTGAGGATGTTGGCAGCGAGGGTGCAATCGGTGATAGGGGATTTGGCGGCTCAGGGGGAGAGGGTTCAGGCGTTGGTGAGTTGGAGGGATCCGAGGGCGACGAGGGTTTTTATTGTGATGTGTTTGGTGGTGTCTCTTGTGCTTTATGTTTTGCCACCGAAGATGGTGTCGGTGGCGCTGGGTTTTTATTTTTTGAGGCATCCCATGTTTAGGGATCCTATGCCGCCTACTGTACTCAACTTTTTTCGCCGGCTGCCGAGTCTGTCTGATAGGTTGTTGTAAATAGGCTGGTGTTTGGGTGGGATTAATTTTTGTTTAGGGCAGGAATGATAACTATGATGGATTAATTAATGGTTTTATATTTGACTATTGTGAGGATTGATGATTGATAAGGAGATTGTTCAAACAACATCAAGTACTAATAATGTTGTAGTAAATTGTGAAACAATAAAAAAATAGCTCTTATTTATATTAATCATGTTAATGTAGCATTATTTTATTTAATTTCTCAAATGCTTTGCACAAAAAACATGAACAAATTCAAAATAATGCTTTGATATGATTTTCAAAATTTTATGTAAATTCAAATTCAAATTTAAAATATGATATATTATAAAAATAAAAACTTTTAAGTACAATTATTAAAAACAATTTTATTTAAGTGTTCTAAAAAATATCTATTAAGGCATTATAATTATTTGGCGCTAACATATGAGTAAGCTTGTGCAATAGTTGAATTCCAATGACGGTTTTTTATTTTTTTACTTGTTTAAATCTCTTGTTCGCCTTCAATTCCTAATTTTGCGGCTCCTAATTATTTATATACAATTATGATTTCTTTCCTTATTAACGTCGGCTGTCGAACTCTCATTGCAATCTCCAAACACCTGATGAAATCGCTTAACTGTCATTGCTGGTACATTGTCTATCCCTAATTGTAGGTGCATCAGGTAAAGCTTCTAGGCTTTTAATCTGCATCGAGCACAAAATCATTCTAATGTTAAACAAAATTTCCATGATAAACAAATTACATGTCTATCGTTGATTGGAGTCAGGGTGTAGAGCTACGTCCCGACTCCACACCGAATAATTCTTATGCTTCTGGATGCCCCGCAAAGACCATTTTCTTTAGTTTCTTGTGGAATATTTTTGGTATATAAGCACGGCTTGATTTTTTATAGTTTATTTCATTCTGTTTCTACAATTTTACTGCATGCTGTTAAGGATATCTTTCACTACAGGCACCACACTTCTCGTTGTTTTAGTTTATATCACTACAATGAATTTTGGATAAGTCCTAAAACATCACCATAATCATTAGTTTTACTACCATTATTGAAGATAAGGCTTCATGAATTCTAATTTTCCATTCTTATAGTTGTTTTATCTTTATGGTAAAGAAAAGCCCTAATTATTTACAAACTTAACTTGCCTCTCTGAGTTCCATAGCAAGAAAAATAATATCGAAAACTGTCATCAAATCTGATTGTTTTAATTTCCGCTACAATAACCTGTAGCATAGTATGATGCCTGATGGACAATATTTTTTATTTAGTGAATGAGTGGTTTGATTCACTATTTTTTCTTTTCAATTTTGAGATAAGGAAGGTCATTTAAATAAAAATAATTACATAAGTACTTTGATATTATTCTATAATCTTAATGATCTTAGAAAATTAATATGATAAGTGGAATTGTAACCTGTCATTTAAGAAATCAAAATTGTAATAAATCTAGCAAAAATTAAGGCGAAGGTCCCAGCAAAGCCATAAGGAAAACTGTTGAAGACAGCAAGAGCAGTAAGACATGCAGGCTTCTAACATGACAGCAAATGTAGTAAACGATCATATCAATGGCCGCACTGCAAATAGGGATCGCGGTGTCCCATCAACGCTACATTAGCAAATCAATAAATTGAAAGCATAACAAATTGGCAAGGCATCATGCTGATGCTTTCAACAAAAAAAGGCAACAATCAACAATTCAGCGGGGAAACAATTAGCAAGTAGAGAGTAAACAATGAAAAAAAAAAATGCTTCCTTAGAATCTTTAATCAAGTCATTGAAAATCATATCTTCTCAAATTAACTTTAAACTAGCATGATATTGTTTATTTATTATTTGGTCCTCATTTGATTTAGTTTATGCCAACAGAATTAAGCATCAAAATCACAACAGACAAATAATTGTTTGTTTTCTGTTAAGGTGTGATATATCATAAAAAATTATATTGATCGAGCACGAATCTCGAGAAAAAAACAAGTTAGAAAACTCAAAAATTAAATCATAGAACATCCTAACTCTGATTTCAACAAACTCACAACCAAAATGAACATCCCGGAAATACGAACCTAACGACACCAAATTCAACTCAGTCCGAGCCCAAATTAGTCCAAATCAAAAACCCAAAGCGTATTTGGAAGATTCAAACTATAATTTGGATTACCAAACGTGACATGCTTCTAATCAAATCAACCGGCTCGATGAGACGAATCCAACGAGCCCATGATCACCGATTTCTGATTTCATTAAGACATTCAAATGTCGAGTAAACGGTCATGATCAAGGGAATCAACATCGGCCATCCATTCAATTCATTCCAAATTTACCCTTGATGTTCCACTTATTTACTAACCAATCAACTATTAGAAAAACTATAAATACGCCTGATACGTCATCATGAAATTATCTTGATCGGGCACGAATCTCGAGGCAAAACTCAAACCGAAAACTTCAAAAATTAATTCCGGGAGCATCCGTACTCTGATTTCAGCAAGCTTATAGTCAAACTGAGCATCTCGAAAATACGAACCCAACGACACTAAGATCAACCCAATCCGAGCTCGAATGAGTCCGAATCAAGGGATCAAAGCATTGTTGAAAGGTTCAAGCCGCAATTTGAGTTACCAAACGGTCTCCGATTTTGACGAACTTATACTCGAATCGAACAGATCGACGAGATGAATCCAACGAGCCCAAGATCGCCAAATTCCGACATCATTAAGACCTTCAAATGTCCAACGAATAGTGTATGATCAAGGGATTCAATATCAACCGTCCATTCGACCACTCCCTATTCGCCCTTGATCTCACACTTATTTACGTGCCATGCCACTCCAGAAAATCTATAAATAGAGCCCTCATTCTTCACAAGAAGGGGGGACCCAGGCAAGAGAGAGGAGAAGAGAAGAGAAGGAAGAAGAGGAGGGAGCTCCTCTTTGACGACCGCTGGAACACTGCAGGAGTTTCGCCGGGCCACCGCCGGACCACCGCAGGAGTCTCGCCGGGCCACCACCTATCGAGGTCGTATGTCGGAGCCCTACTCGACGACATTGACCTGTGTGGAAGAGGTCGAGAGAATCCACCAAGGATGTAAGACATATCCGAGGTCATATGTCGGAGCCCTGCTCGACGATGTTGACCTGTGCGGAAGAGGTCGAGAGAATCCACCAAGGATGTAGACCTATCCAAGGTCGTATGTCGAAGACCTGCTCGACGAACGTTAACCTGTGCAGAAGAGGTCGAGAGAAATCCACCAAGGATGTAAGACCTATCCGAGGTCGTATGTCGGAGCCCTGCTCGACGACGTTAACCTGTGTGAAGAGGTCAAGAGAATCCACCAAGGATGTTAAGACCTATCCGAGGTCGTATGTCGGAGCCCTGCTCGACGACGTTAACCTGTGTGGAAGAGGTCGAGAGAATCCACCAAGGATGTAAGACCTATCTGAGGTCATATGTCGGAGCCCTGCTCGATGACGTTGACCTGTGTGGAAGAGGTCGAGAGAATCCACCAAGGATGTAAAGCTATCCGAGGTCGTATGTCGGAGCCCTGCTCGACGACGTTGACCTGTGTGGAGAGGTCGAGAAGAATCCACCAAGGATGTAAGACTCTATCAGAGGTCGTATGTCGGAGCCCTGCTCGACGACGTTGACCTGTGTGGAAGAGGTTGAGAGAATCCCACCAAGGAATGTAAGACATATCCGAGGTCGTATGTCGGAGCCCTGCTCGACGATGTTGACCTGTGCGGAAGAGGTCGAGAGAATCCACCAAGGATGTAAGACCTATCCGAGGTCGTATGTCGGAGCCCTGCTCGACGACGTTAACCTGTGCAGAAGAGGTCGAGAGAATCCACCAAGGATGTAAGACCTATCCGAGGTCGTATGTCGGAGCCCTGCTCGACGATGTTAACATGTGTGGAGAGCGAGAGAATCCACCAAGGATGTAAGACCTACCGAGGTCGTATGTCGGAGCCCTGCTCGACGACGTTAACCTGTGTGAAGAGGTCGAGAGAATCCTCTGGGATTGATCATATGTTGACTGAGCTTACAATAATAGTTATATATTTATTTGACATAGGATATTAAAGTTCACAGCTTGTGCGAATTTTATCAATACAATTTTAAGGAAAAACAAAGTCTTACGGCATTAAATAAAAGCATAGCTCCCTAAGATAGCTTAGGGAGGGGAAGCTACACACCACAAATAACATTCAAAATTAAAGACAAATAGTACTAAAGTCACACAATACTAAAGACATACGATACTTAAAACAAGCAGCACTACTGTGCTCTATGCAATTAAAAACTCGGCAAGGCGTTTGATAGGCCCCAGCAATGGTTCCAATTTCCCCAACTATTTGGCGATTGTTTTATCGACTGCCTTTGTTGGTTTTGATCTGCCCCCCAGTCGGTCCAACTTCATCTCGGGCTGGTGCATTCTTTGATGATATTGTCCGAAGATATCCTTGTCGGATCAGTCTCTCAACTTCTTCCCTTGAGTTGCCAACATGCTTCAGTAGTTGTGCCACAGGCTACGGTGGAAGTGGCAATATTGATCCTGGGTTTCCGACATTGGTTTCAAAGGGTGTGGCCATTTCACGTTCTCCTTGATCGCCGGATGGCCTATTAATTACATTTTCTTGGGATGTATTGGTGGTGTGTACTCCTTTTCTTGGTGAGGTTCGTCGTGGCTGTGAGGGTCGAGGAGGAAAATTATAATTTCCTTGCTTCTTCCTTTGTAAGGGTGGATACTCCATTTCTGGAGGATTTTTACGCTTCCCATTTGTTTGTTCAAATTGTCTTCTATGAGCATTAATGGCTTCGTCGGCAGATATTTGGGCCTCTACTCGATGATCAGATCAGCATATGAATGGCCGTTCTCGCATGAGTGCCGAGTAAAAGGGGCCAGGATGAAGCCCTCCGAGAATACACCTCTAAGCAACTCGGGATCTACCCCTGGAATTTGTCGGGCTTCCGTAGAGAACCTTTGAAAGTATTCTTTAAGAGATTCGCCCTCATTCTGACGTATCCCTGAAAGGTGGGAGGAATCCTTAATCATCCTTTGGTTGGCGACAAACTGTTCGACGAACAGTTTGGCCAATTTAAAGAATACTGGAATGGATCGGGCAGGCAGTGAGTAGAACCATGTCCGGGCCTGCCCTTAAGGGTGGCAGGAAAAAACTTGACAGAGCAAAGCGTCCGGGGCCTGTTGGATATGCATAATAGTGCGGTAGTGGTCGATATGCTCGTAGGGGTCTGAAGTCCCGTCATAAGATTCAATATTTGGAGTTTGAATCTTGCCGGAACGGGGTATCGGAGGACAGCTTCGGTGAAAGGTGACGATTCATGAACGTCCCGTTGGCGAAGGGAGTGGTCTTTGTACCTCTTGTGGGGAACTCTTCTCAGACTAGCCTCCGCACTCATCCCGGAGAGTATTGCGGGAGGTTCAGTAATGTGCTGTTGGTCCAAGTCTTCTAGGAATTTCTGGAGCATTGCTGCGCGGTGGCCATGCGTGAAGGATGGGTAAGAGCTTGCTGTGTCAGCAAGCTCATTCTCTGGACGGATTGGAGGGCGCACTCTTAGGCGGAGGAAGGGGGACCTCACAATGACGAAAACGTCTTCAAGCCTGGCTGGTCTCGAGGGAAGAGAATATCTTCTTGAGGTACTAGTGCTGGTCCTCGAGTCTCCCTTAAGAGTCGAAGGATCTCATTCTGAGATTCCTCCATCTTCCTGATACGCTCTTCTAGGGATGGCCCTGAAGTTCCTTCACATGCAGGGTGTTGGCCCAACAGGGTGAAAGGAGGCAGATGCCCGTCGTCCTTGATTTTGGGGACTATTTTCCTGATTGATGTGATTGGAGCGAGAGGCTCCCATGATGCGATGGCTACGCTTGTTGTCCATTAAGAAGTACTTTAGTGTAGTGGGATTGATCTTTCCCATAGACGGCGCCAAACTGTTGCGGACTAAAAAATACGCGGCGATAGAGGTTTAATTCTGCGTCTTAGCGTTGAACGGATAACTAGCTCACAAACAGAGAACACAAGATTTTTAACGTGGAAAACCCTTGAAAAGGGAAAAAACACGGGGCCAAGCCCAATTGAAAATGATTCCACAAGAACTTTGAGTCGGTTACAAATGGTTGAATCACCTCCAAGGCTGTTCAGATTACAACTGGTTACTATCAAAAAGGAGTCGGGTGTTAGACCCAGTATCACTTGGAAGATCGGATGTCGATAGTCCGGGCATGAGCTGAGCGTGGGGTCTGAATATCGGGCCTTGAGTGACGTCGGGTCTCAGCAGGACGTCGGTCTCAGCAGGACGTCAGGCCTTAGGCAGGACGTCGGGTCTTCAGCAGGACGTTGGGTCTTCAGCAGGATGTCGGGCCTTAAGCAGGAGTCAGTCTTCAGCAGGACGTCGGGACTTAGGCAGGCGTCGGTCTTCAGCAGGACTTCGGGTCTTCAGCAGGACGTGGGTCTTCAGCAGGACGTCGGTCTTCAACAGGACGTCGGGTCTTCAGCAGACGTCGGGCCTTAAGCAGAATGTCGGGTCTTCAGCAGGACGTCGGTCTTCAGCAGGACGTCGGGTCTTCAGCAGGACGTCGGGCCTTAGGCAGGACGTCGGGTCTTAAGCAGGACGTCGGGCCTTCAGCAGGACGTCGGGCCTTCAACAGGACGTCGGGCTTCAGCAGACGTCGGGTCTTCAGCAGGACGTCGGGCCTTAGGCAGGACGTCGGGTCTTCAGCAGGACGTCGGGTCTTTAGCAGGACGTCGGCCCTTAAGCATGACGTCGGGTCTTCAGCAGGACGTCGGGCCTTAGGCAGGACGTCGGGTCTTCAGCAGGACGTCGGGTCTTCAGCAGGACGTCGGGTCTTCAGCAGGATGTCGGGCCTTAAGCAGGACGTCAGGTCTTCAGCAGGACGTCGGCTTAGGCAGGACGTCGGTCTTTAGCAGGACGTCGGTCTTCAGCAGGACGTCGGGTTTCAGCAGGACGTCGGTCTTCAGCAGGGCGTCGGGCCTTAGGCAGGACGTCCGGTCTTCAGCAGGACGTCGGGTCTTCCGCAGTGGTGCAACGAAACTCCGGCGAGGATTCGGTGGTGGTCCGGCGAGGTTCCTGCGGTGGTTTGGCGAGACTCCTGCGGTGGTACGGTGGTGGCCCG